ATGTCAAATAAATAAATAAATAGAGAAAGAATATATATATATATAATAAATCTCTAGAGTTCAAGTCTCAAAGTCCTTATCGTGCACATCTTGCTTTTGATAATCTAAATCTCTTTTTTTCTTTCTTACAAATAAAGTTGATAAAATGTGTAATTTAATGAATTACAAATAGTGAGTCATTACAACCTCACTAGTACCAACGTCAGCACTACAATGTGCAAACCATCAACAACCACCTCCACCACCAACACTCTACCCCAACCACCACTAACATACCACCAACCACCTCCACCGTCGATGCCGCTTCAGATATGTGGATTTAGATCTTCGAGCTAAGCGTCACTTCTTAGATGTGGCTTTCTGAGCGCCACCATGCGCAACGTCGCAGAGCGCCTCTAACAAGCCAAAGGCTTCGTCCACAGGCACAAGTGAGTGGGCAAGGACTCAGAACTATAACCGCGGTATAGCTAAGAAGACTTCGTCTACGCGAGGCATTGACAACGATTCATCGTGAACAGAGGCGATTCGTCGCTCTTGCTGGTTGGATTTCTTCAGTGCGCGGCCAATACCTTTGTTGACCGGAGCTCCAGTGATCGAAAATTTAAGTAGAAGAGAGAGAGTGTGGAGGAAGATGAAGAGAGAAATTGGGGAATTCTTGGTTTGGTGGTGGTGAACGGGGTGGGATGAATGAGATGGCGGTAAATTTTAAAATATCATTGATAATTCAATTAATACATGTTCTTTAGTTAAATAAATCTCATCTCTGGTTTATGAATTGTAATATTTAAATAACTATTGGAGTGTAATTTCCACTCATAAATGGGAGAACTGCATAAGTTGCTATTATTCAAAATTAGTTAGTAAAATATTCCAATATTACATACCATATGTAGAAATTTTCTCGCCATAATCCAGTGGGGCCGATTGCCTTCATCAATGGTTGGAGACATGAGTGTAAATTCAAGTAATATTATTTATCTCTATTACCAATAAAATGACTCATATTCATTTATATATTTAATTGATCTTATCATATGATAGCACATTAAACGTGACATATACGGATGTAGCTTTATTTAGAAAACCTTGGTGGAATTCACCAAACGGTAAATTATTCAAACATATTTTTGTAAGCAAGACAAACGGTTAAGATTATTAAAAAAAAAAATGATGAATAAATGCGTGCTACAATAAGCGTCTGTTTGGCTCCATTATTGTACATTATAACGAGAAGAATAGTAATTTTTTAGAGAATGTGTGGATAGAAAAGAAGAAATTTTTTTTGGATTTATATGTAATATTATTTTATTTAAAAATGTTTAATTTATAGGAAAAAATGAATTATAATTTAATGAGGAATAATGTGAGTGCAGGAACTCGAATCTAACACTCAAAACTTGATGACAAACCCCAGTGCGAACTAATGATTCTTAAATCTTATTTGAGGGAGATTTTTTGAGAATATAGTTTGTGAAAAATAATTTCTTAGAGAATGTGTGATTAAAGTAGAAAATTACGAGGTCACCCGAAAAATTATTTTACTTAGAAAATACATAGTTAAAAATAAATTTTAAAAAATATAACCAATCCGGGACTTCAATTAAAGTCAAGCAAGCGGTCGTGAAAGGAACTCCAAAAAACAAGGATAACAAAAAGGGACTCTTTGTTAAAACACCTAGTCAAACAATGTAATTGGAAAAAAGACCCATGCTCAATGTTTATTGGTCACATGGCCTCAATTAAAAAATATGATAAATAAACATGGGAAAATGTCTAAAATGCCCTCAACAAGTAAAAGACCAATACACCCTTTTCATCCAATCAAATTCACCAATTCACCTCTGTCAAAACTAACGTGCTCTTTTACCGATCAAAAAAATCAATGTATTCGTCTCCAATGTTTGCTGCCTCCTAAAATCTTGTTATTGATTATATTCTCCAACATTTTGAGCATTTGATCAAGAATTTTAGCTTCTATATTATCTACATTGAAATCTCCATTATATTTGAAGAAAAGAAATTGTATTTTTATAAATCTCATGTACATTTGGTCCTTTTATTGTTGAATGTAGTATGAAATGATATTTTAGCTGATTTTGTTTTACTGTTAGTATATTTCTGCAACTACTAGACGATTTGTAGTACAGAACGACAGTCCAGCCGTTTTATGTAGTGTAGAATGACACTACAGTCGTTATCGTCCATGTAAAATGACAATACAAACAATATCTGTTATGATCTGTCCGTTCTTGATAATACAATATGGTTATTGTGATAATTTAAATATGATAGCTATTTTCATATTACTTTGATATATATTTGAGTCAACTATTTAACTTTTTTATTTTATTTGCAGCTATGGATTCTGTAGGAATGATATTGGTACAAGTATGCTATTTTGTTGAGTTTAAAAAGATTGAAGAAGACAAATGGACGTGGAGTTATGTAGGGAATAGTGAAGAAAATGTGGATATTCTTTATGTTCCAACTAACTTTTCGTATATTGAATTTTACAACAAAGTGCAAGAACTTGTTAATGTGGATTCAAAGTTGTATGAAATTGAGATGATGTTCGAGATAACTGTAATAGGTTTTGCTCTCCATTTTATAGCACTTCTTATTGGAAACAAGCTTATTCAGACTATATATATCCACTGCCAAATGAGGCGGACTGGAAAATTCCCGATAATGTTCGATCAAAAAGGTGATACAACAGTTGTGTCGTTTTGTTTTTCATTTCGATTAAGTATTGAGCACATCTCTCCTATGTTCTAAGAGGCATGTCCATCGTACAACTTAAATGAGTACATCTAATGAGTTCATCATGGCTCGGACGGGTCGTGGAGCTCCGTACGGTTGTTTCCAGGCAGAACGACACTTGTGTCGTTACACGAAGTTATGTCGTTCTGTTGATTTCATCAGTATTTTTCAACTTTTTCGGTTGAACGACCTCGAAAATTGGACCCCCTAACTTGGGAAGGCTGGACATGTGGATTACGTGACAACAAACGGTGGACTTGATGTAGAATATAAGGTATTGAATGGTGAAATCACATGTGTCGTTCTGATGATTTCTCCAATATTTTGATTTATTTCGGTCGATACGACCTCAAGCATTGTACCCCATGAATTGACATAGATTGTATGATATCTTGTTGGTGAAATCACATGTGTCCTTCTTTTTGATTATGTAATGACCATATCTACTGAATATTGTGAGGCGTGTCCATCCTGCAACTTAAATGAGTTCAAGTTATCGATTATCGTGGTTCGGGAGGATCGTGGCGCTTAATATACGTGTTCATAGGCAGAACGACACTTGTACCGTTTTCAAAACAGTAACGACAGTTGTGTCGTTTTCTTTTTTTCCTCTTGATTAAGTAATGAGCATAAATTTCGAATGTTGTAAGCGGCGTGTTCAGCCTGCAACTTAAATTAGTTCAACTCATAATTATCGTTGTTTGAATGGGTCGTGGCTCTTCAAAATCGATTTTAGAGCTAGAACGACACTTGTGCCATTTTCAAAACAGTAACGACAGTTGTGTAGTTTTCGTTTTTCCTCTTGATTAAGTAATGAGCATAAATTTCGAATGTTGTAAGCGGTGTACTCAGCCTGCAACTTAAATGAGTTCAACTCATCATTATCGTAGTTTGGATGGGTAGCGGCTCTTCAAAATCGATTTTAGAGCCAGAACGACACTTGTGCCGTTTTCAAAACAGTAACGATAGTTGTGTCGTTTTCTTTTTTCCTCTTGATTAAGTAATTAGCATAAATTTCGAATGTTGTAAGCGGCGTGTTTAGCCTGCAATTTAAATGAGTTCAACTCATCATTATCGTGATTTAGACGGGTCGCGGCTCTTCAAAATCGATTTTAGAGCCAGAACGACACTTGTGCCGTTTTCAAAACAGTAACGACAGTTGTGTCGTTTTCTTTTTTCCTCTTGATTAAGTAATGAGCATAAATTTCGAATGTTGTAAGCGGAGTGTTCAGCCTGCAACTTAAATGAGTTCAACTCATCATTATCGTGGTTTGGACGGGTCGCGGCTCTTCAAAATCAATTTTAGATGCAGAACGACAGTTCTGTCGTTCTGGTAGACGTTCTCAAAGCAGTAACGACACTTTTGTCGTTCTGTTGATTTCTCCAATATTTTGCTACTTTTCCAGTAACGACTTGTTCTTTCATTATCTCGATAAATATAAAAGTTATGTCATTTCAATCGTTTTTTGTAGCTTGTCAATCTTTTTGTGTTATACATGTTAATAAGTTATTAGAGGTCGTTTCGTTGAAAAAATCAAATTACAGCAGATAACGACTGTAGTGTCGTTTTACGTTGCAGATAACGACTGTAGTGTCGTTTTACATCGCGACTGCAGACCTTTTTGAGCAACAACAGATCGAATTAGTGCATTATTGGTCGATGTTAAGTCATAGTGTTCGTCGTCTGGGTTAGTGCTATCCACTGGTGATGGTGCCGACCATGGGTGTCGCCGGAAGTAGGTTTTCCGGCAGAAGAAGAGTGGGCGTGAACTAGTTTTTTGGGTTGGTTTGTTGCTGATTCTGGTGGTTTCATGGATAATGATTGGTTGGAGGTTGTAGATGGGAGTGAGACGAGGTTAGGGGTGGTGGAGTCTGATGGTTTGGGTGACCGAAAAGTGGTGGAATGGGGCTCCATATGTGGCTGCTGAAAATGGGTGAAAAAGAAGAAGAAAGAAGAAGGTGAAATGAAAGAAGTTGGGTAAATAATTTGATATAAATTGAAGGACAATTTTGTCATTTTACCATTAAAATATTTTCATTTTTTTTATTCTATTTCATTGTTGGTCAAAAGGCCATTTATCCAAAATGGGATTATTTGGCCAAATTTCCCTAACAAAAAATGGAGAAAAAAAATCGTCCTTGTCCACATTTCCCATCTTCTCAGTTATTGCTTTATATGTTAGTTCCTAGAGAAGGATTTTCTTCACTTTGGTTGACTCACAGAGTACAAAAGAGTGAGTATGGAGATTGAGGAACAAGAGCTCGAGTTCTTCAAAGAACAAACCAGACTTCCAGATTTTGCAGTTCCTAAACGTTATGATCTCACACTAAAACTTGATCTTTTGGGTTGTAGTTTTTCTGGGATTGTACTAACTGATATTGCCATCAATAAAGCCACACAATTCCTCATCTTGAATGCACTTGAACTTGTCATTCATCAAGTCTCCTTCACCAACTCTCAATCCCAAGTATTTACTTACACTGATAGGAACTCAAGAATTGACACTAACTTTAGATCATTCTTGATTGTTAATAGGTATTGGTGTCCTTGTTTTTTCTTGCAGAAATATGTTCCATCAGATATTGTGGTCGACGACCAAGCCGAGATAGTTGTGCTGGTGTTTGATGATGTATTGAATGTGGGAAATGGAGAACTGGAGATCGGATTTTCAGGGGTTCTTAATGAACACTCTATGGGCTTCTATAGATGGTGCCTTCTCTTTTTTCTGTTATTTTCCTCTTTCCTATATATTTTCTGCCTTAAATTAATTTGGTGAAAGATATTTTTGTCTATTTTGAATTACTGAATGGGGAATTTAAAATGGGGACAAATAATGTTTTGGAAAAACCTTGGAGATCTTCTGAAATATGGGAGATAAATTGTTTTGACCTTTGAAATACTAGTTAGTAAATTAGGAGAAAACATGATTGCAGTAAATTACTTATAGTTTTAGAGGAGAACTTACCTTTCAATGATTATTTTGTGATCAAAGTAGAAAATACAGTTCCCTTAACTTAGAGTTCATTCAACCGTCTGTTGAAAATGCTCTATGGTATAGAAGTTTTGGATGTCTGAACAAAATATGTCACAATGTTGAATCTTACTACATTCTAACATTGGAAGTTAATCACAACAGTACTTACATGGATGAAGGAGAGAAGAAAAATATGGCTGCGACTCAATTTGAGGCAGTGGATGCGCGCAGGTGCTTTCCATGCTGGGATGAACCTGCTCTAAAGGTCAATATGCGAAAACACATACAATTTAATTAAGTTGATTTGGTGCTTCTCTTTGGGATGACCATAGTTTTAAAATAATTTGGAGCCGGTGCAAGAAAGATTTCATCTGGCTGAAACGAGAATGAGTACCAATCTGTAAAATTTATGCATTTTAGTCCATATGCTTATCTTTTCTTTAACAGTTTTCTTAGTTTTGTGATAAACATGCTGCTTTGATTGTAATATTGTTTTCTAAATACATGTTTGGTCTTGTGACAATATCCTCTTGGCAGGCTACCTTCAAGATAACATTAGAAAACGTTCCGTCGGAGTTGACGGCATTGTCCAATATGCCTGTTTCCGTGGAAAAATTTGATGGGCACCTTAAGAGTGTTTATTTTGAAGAATCAATAGTTATGTCAACTTATTTGGTGGCTGTTGTAGTTGGTTTGTATGACTACATTGAAGGCATAACAGCTGATGGTATGCATAAATACATTGTCAAGGGGATGCAATATAAATATATTGGTATTTCTCCATGGCTAAAGTTTAAATAATTCTTAACTGTTTGTGCAGGAATCAAGATCCGAGTATATACTCCTATAGGTAAAAGTGAGATGGGGAAGTTTGCTCTAAATATAGCAATGAAGACACTGGAGTTTTTTGAGAAGTAAGTGATCTTAAGTATAAAAACAGTTCAAAATGTAGAAAGCTAAAGAACCAAGGATTCAGAAGAATTGGATCATTAGTACTATAGTTCGTCAGCATCTCGCTCCTTCAAAGAAATCTGTTGGGGATAGATCATACTTGGGACATTTCACAAAAAAATATGAAATTGTGAACCTGATAATAGCATCATCAGAATTTATGTCGAAGATTAGCAGTGTAGCAAAGACAGTTGTATGTGAATTCAAAAGATGAATTGGGAAATTGTTCAATTTTATTCAAATTAAGTTTTAGGTTTATTTTATTTTTATTTGATTGAATTTTAAATTACTGTGGAATTCTACAGTTACTTCTCAATGCCTTATTCTCTTCCAAAGCTGGATGTGGTTTCAGTTCCTGTATTTGCTGATGCAGCCATGGAGAATTATGGTTTGATTACATTTCGAGAAACTGAGCTGCTTCAAGATGAATTGCATTCTGCAGCAGCTAACATACTAAGGGTATGTTACAAATCTGCATATATATTTTACCATTTTTTGCCTCGGAAAATATGATAAAAGAAGTACTACTCAATTTTCCCATTATTTCTCGAATGCGATTTACTTTTGCTTTCCCAGCTTACGATTGTTGTGGCACATGAAGTTGCTCATCACTGGTTTGGTAATTTGGTCACAATGGAATGGTGGACTCATCTATGGCTTAAGGAGGGGATTGCAACTTGGGTAATCCTTCTCAGCATGGTAGCGATTCAACGATTATAACATTTTTTCAATTTTCTAATTTTGCAGTCCATTTCTATTAGGTAAGCTATTTAGTTACTGATAAATTATTCCCTGAATGGAAAATTTGGAATCGGTTTATTCAAGATATGACAAGTGCTCTGCGTATGGATGCCTTGGAACAATCTCATCCAATTGAGGTAAATGTTATAGATGTAGAATATACTGTTACCATTTCTCGAGCTTGGGTTGAGTCATTTATTGCGTCATTATAAAATATTTATGCAGGTGGAAATACACCAAGCTCGATCAGTTCTTGAATTTTTTGATGCAATAAGTTACAGAAAGGGCTCTTCTGTTATTCGAATGTTACAGGATTATCTTGGTGATGAAATATTCCAGGTAGGAGAATCCATTAGCCAACTTTCATATGATTTTAAATTCAAAATCACTATTACATTGCTTCCTTCTTTATGTGCTTACACTAATAGAAGGTCGTAATTTCGAAATTTTGCCAACTGTCCTTCTTTCTTATATCAGAAGTCTTTAGGCTTGTACATGAAGAGATATGCATTCGCGAATGTCAAGACTGAAGACTTATGGAATGTTCTAACAGTGGTATCTGGCGTTGAAGTTAACACAATCATGGAGACATGGATAAAGCAAAAAGGCTATCCAGTTATCTCAGTAGAGCTGAAAGATCATATTTTAGAATTTGAGCAGGTTCTTATTTCTGATAAAGAAATCAATATGTGAACAGATTCTATTTTACCATAAAGTGATACTTCTTCATGATTTGCAGAATCAAATGATATCTTCTGGTTTGCATTCTGATAGTCAATGGATAGTCCCGATGACCCTATCCCTTGGTTCATACAACAACCAAAAGAAGTTCCTTCTACGAACAAAAAAGGGGCAATTGGATGTAGTGGAATTTTTCCATTCTTCTGATATAAGTTCAAGCAGGCACAAACAGCATAACGAGGAGAATTTTGACAATAATTGGTGGATCAAAATAAATGTACACCAGGCTGGTTTTTACAGGGTGAAGTATGATGATAACCTGATGGCTCGGTTAAAGAAAGCTATACAGTGCAACTACTTATCAGCTGCAGATGAATTTGGTATACTAATTTCAGTATCTTCTTTTCATGATAATTACTTGATTTAGATCATATTTGGCCTCATTTTCTAAAATTCATTTTTTTTCCAAATTCATTTTCAACTGTACATTTTCTCAATTAATAATTCTGCACGTGGACCCATAACTTTTCTCTACTTTTTGACCACACACATTCTCCAAAAAATCATTTTTCACAAATCTATTCACACAAAATCTCTATCAAACAGGGGCTTAGTTCTCTTGCTTGATAGTTTGTTGCGTTTGTGATTTGTAGACTAGAATATAACATGCTTATCAGATCTAAATTAGGTCCTCTCGTTTGCATGGCATCAGAGCTACACAGAGTTAGCAAATTCCACTGCTTAACTGCACTATAGAACTTAGATTTGTTGTTAGCCCATTCTTTCTACTCCACTTGGAAACAAGTTGGCTGTTGAATTAGTTAGCACTTGAAGCGTATGTATGTTATACAATTCTAGACTTGACTCGATAATACGATGAACAAATTTTTGCTTCTTTTACTTTCTTAATACTATTGAGTATTGTCTAGTCCACGTTACCAGACATGCTATAACTGATATAGCTGCGTCAATGCTATTTCTTTAAGTATTCATTGGGTATTCAATATAAAGTTTCTTCTCAGGAATTTTGGATGACGCATTTTCTCTTTGTGAGGCTTGTGAGATGCCATTTTCGTCTCTGCTTATCCTGATGGATGTGTACAGGAAGACACTTGATTACATCATGCTATCAAGACTTACTGATGTAAGAAGATCCTCTTGTATTTTATGAATCATCATATAAATTATAGAGATCATAATTCTGTAAATTTTACCAACAGGTATGCCGTACTGTTGTGAAAATTATAAGCGATGCCATTCCACAATTGGTGTCTGATTTGAAACAATTCTGCATCAACCTCCTCCTATTATCAGCAAAGTGAGAATGTCATACATTTTCTTGTACCCTCGTTAATTCTCTCATTTATTGAAGTTACTGGCTTGAACCAATTTATCTTCTATCCAAATCAGTAACCAATAGTTGTTTTATATCTCTGCTACATATATGTTGAAACTTTTTTTTGAAGAAGTTCAAGGATCTAAGTATCCGATTTATACATTTGGACCACAATATCTAGAAAACTAGGCTGGGATTCCACATCTGAAGAAAGCCAATTAAATGCACTGATGAGGGAAGAGGTTCTGACGGCATTGGCTAGTTTTGGCCATCCTCAAACTCATGAAGAAGCAAGGAAGCGGTTTCATGCATTTTTAGACGATACGAAGACATCACTTCTTCCTGTTAACACCAGAAAGGTAACATAACGTATTTATACAGCTGGATACAAAATTGATAAGATTATAATTCGTTTTTCTTTCTTAATACTGTTCGACATTGTCTATTCCACCTTACTAAACATGCGATAAAAAACATTTTGCAGGCTGCTTATACAGCCATAATGAGGAATGCAAGTACTGAGAATAGGAAAGGATTGGATTGCCTCCTAAAGATATATAGAGAAGTTGGAGAAGTGCAGGAAGAGACCAGGGTGTTACGTAAGAATGTGGATTTGAACTAAAGTTAATCTTTCACTACTGATGTCTTTATGTCGGCAAGAGCTTGTCTAAGTTCATTTATTTTTATGAGCTTTTCTAGGCTGTATAGCATCTTCTCCAGACCCAATTATAGTTACAGAAGTTCTGAATTTGATGTTATCTGATGAGGTATTATAATTTACAATGAACATGGCTTCTAAGAACCACATTTCTGATTCCCAAATACTACACTGATTTTCATTCTTGCTGCACTACAGGTTCGACGTCAAGATATAGTTTACATACTACCAGGGATAAGCTGGGAAGGTCGTGCCACAGCATGGTCATGGTTTAAAGTACGCAAATACTATGTTTGATTTTGCACATACTACTCATTGTCAGAAAATCTAGTAATGCCAATATGTAAATCTCTTATAATGCCATTATGAAAATGATATATGAATGCAGGAAAACTGGGATCAGATCCTAAAAACATGGGAACCTGAAATGCTTCTGACTTATTTCATTAGAGACATAATCACACCAGTAGGTGCCTAATGAAACCACCTATTATACTTCGGGATAAGAACATGGTTAGTCCCTCAATTTGGTAGCGTTGATCACTTTGGTCATTAAACTTTTTTTTTTAGTCATTGGATGTTTGTTTCTATCCAGACACTTAGTCCTATGGAATTAACTGAAATGCTGACTTGGCTAACAGAAATGATGATATGGAAGTGTATTATTTATATTGTCATGATAGACAAAAAAGTGTATTGTTTGAAAAGTCATGCTTTCTAAATGTACTTTTACAAAGAAACACAAAAAGAAAAGCACGACTTGTCCAACGTGTATTTTTGCCTAGTCGGTCAATTAAATAGATAAGTGAAGTGCCTAAACTTGAAGTTGTAACAAGAGTAAATTCATACAAAGCATAAAAGAAAAATAATATAATCGTTCTTTTATGTTGGAATTTACGGAATAATTATATATTGGTATTAATTGGAAAAGTCACAAATTGGTGCGATTACTAGTCGCCACTCTTCAAATACAAATGGTGCATATCATAAAGTCATGTTGCTTTAGATTGCATGTGACTATTCGATAATGTATATTATGAAATGTCATGACCTTTTGATAGGGTGCAATCTAGACCATTAAATATGAAAATGTGTGATCTGATGATCCACATTAATTTATGTCAATAGGTGCAACCATTCAGAAAAGTCACTTAAATTCTATAAATAGGGACCTCTAATTCCAAATTTTCTACACCAAATCAATTCAAGAAAAAATTATTTCTAAATTCTCTCTTCTCTTCAAATTATTCAGTTTTTTTTTTGTTGAAATTAAATTCTGTTCAAATTATTTTCAAAAATAAAATTCCGTCCGAACAATTTTAGTTCATATCTATTCCGTTCTTGAAGAATACCATCAACAATTTGGTTCGCTTGAAAAAATTAATATTGTGCTATATTAATTTAGAAAAAAGCGTTGTATTTTAGGAGACGCACATCTATTTGAACACATTGGTACTAGTGCAGGGGGCGAAATCTATTTTAAAAAGATTTGCATTCACATATCTCGCTTTATTTCATCTCCTTCTAATTTTTACGTTTCAGTAAGTCGTACTTTGTGTATATTTTGATGTGCATATCTTGTTTTCGGTGTATCAAAGCTTTATCTAATATTTTGCATCAGTAAGTCACGATTTTATCATATTTTTGCATGCACGTGCTTTCAGTTAAAAGGAATATAATTATGCACCATTTATTCAACAGTTTAATGTCTCAATCTTGCATTTTTCTTCTTTTTTCTGCTTGTATAATATTTCATGAATTGAAAACTAAATTAGAAATCTAAATAATTTTTCTTGTCCTGTAATGTTTCCAGCTTAGCAGCCATGAGATGGCAGACGAAGTGGAAGAATTTTTCGCAGCCCACCCGGTTCCATCAGTCGCCATGAATCTGAAACAAAGCCTGGAACTAGTAAGAATCAAAGCAAGGTGGATTGAATACATAAAGGAAGAGAAAGAATCACTTATAGAGGTGGTTAAAGGATTAGCCTCCAAGAAATGATTGCTTGTGCAGTTGGTGCTTATTATTCATTCATTATCTGTTAGTAAGTGTGAAGTATGAACAATAAGTATTAAACTGTTGTGACTTTTATGGATTACAAATTCTGTAAGTATAATAGTTTCACTTGTTTTTGGCATGCTACTTATACTCAATGAAGATGTGTGGCTCTTATTATTTTTCCTCTTTTTTAGTATTTTCTTGGTTAATTAAAACAAAAAGGAACTAACTGGAATATTGGTTTATATTGCTCAAGCTCGACGAGGGGTTAAAAATCTCAATGTACAATCCACTTTTAATGTTACTTTAAATTTTTTTCGAATAGTCAATATACTTACAATGTTGTTTTCCAACCGTTGCTTTAGATGATGTGGCAATCAGAATTGTTATGTTTGAAACGATTTGTAGCGAAACGACTTTAAAAGTAGAGTGACTATTTAGAAAAAAAAATTGAATTTCATTGAAATAGTTGGGGAAAATGTAGAAAGTTCCGTAGCCATTGGCATATTTTACCCGCTCGATGAGCACAAAAAGTTTAACCAATTTTACTAATATTATTTAAATTGAGCTTAACAACGTGTATGTTTTGGGTACATATAGTAAATTGAGAGCGAGTAATATTTAGATTTTTTGTATAGTTGCTTAGCTGATTAAATTGAAGTTGGAGACAAGTTCAAAAATTTTACAAATTATGAATTTGCTCATTTGGCTCTTTTTTCTTTGAGTTCAAGGTTGCGGTAGGTTATTATCCTTTACAAGTAATTGAATAAAATATCAACAAAATCATCCCTACAAATAATTTAAATGTAGAATTATCTTTCAATTTTTTTTATTTTTTATCACGTAATGGATTCAATTTGGCTCAAAAATTACCATTTTTTTAGATTTTAGTACCGATATTTTTGATTTTATTCCCTTCATATATTCCATGTTCTTGTAAGGAAAAAAAATTTAAGAATTGTATATGAAACATTGTTTTCAATAGTGGGGAGGGGTTCTATTCCTATTCTAAGAAACTAATGATAATTCCATTTTTCATATCCGGACCTATCTTATATTCTATGCAATCAAACTCTATCGAAATTATCACGGTAATGCTAAAAAATTTTCACTCACGACACGAGAATAGCAACGAGGCAGGCCTCGTCCCATCGGATATTTTTGTCATCTTGTCCCATTTCTATACTCACTTAAAGGGGGACGGGGTTGGACATGTCCCTGTCCCATTTATCACCCCGTTTATTTTTTTGTTTTCTATTTATTTTATTTTTAACATTTTTAACTTTTTTTTTTCTAATTTGTTAAGAACAATTCATGTTCACTTTAAAAATGATGATACATTTTTTATTTTTTGTTTGATTAAAAACCTAAATTTGAAATTAACTTTAAATGGGGGTGAGAATTATGTTTTCCGTACCCGCCTTGTACTCGCTTCGGGATAATGACCCCCGTCCTATCCCTCTCTCATTAACCCAGTTAGGCAAGTAATTCTTGACCCATTCGGAGTGGAGCCCCACGATTATCGAGTTAAACTGATTTTTATTTTATTTTTTTGTCATCCCTACTCACAGCAGATCACACTACTTGTATTCAAGAAGAAGATTGGCCATGTTAGGTAAGTTGATGAACCTTGCTATTTTGAAGATGATATCACTACAGAACGACAGCGTCCACCAAATGCGTTTAAAAATGAAATTACAAGTGAATTTTCCCTTATACGAAGACAAACCTTAATTTGTTTGCGTGAAATTTTTGAGTTATCTATTTATCCTAGCTCAGGGATCTAAGCATCAAATATCTCGATTTCCTATAAAACGTTACGGAAGATATGTACAAAATTATCCCTTGCATAGTGATGTTTTGCATCTCTCGAGTAATCAATATTTTGAGGGCAAGATGGCTTTTGTTGGGTCTGTTTGCTTAAAGAAAAATTGGAATTAGAAATGACCTCGTAAATTTGTTGCATAATCCTATGAGGTAAGCAGAAGATCTGGATTGTCTTGTTAGTAAGTGATAAACTGCAATTGCAATTTTCTTTGAGAAGGACCATAGCTCCTATTCTTAAGAGACGGAGAAACCGCTCTGAAAACGGGTTTAAAAAATGCAATCTACGATCAAACAACTCAATCCCTTGATTCGAGTTGAGATCTGTTGTCCAAAATTGACCTCCTCCTAAAGAAAGCTTTCACCTTTATTGCGGAGATATAAAACAAGCAACCTACTAAAGCAGCAACAAGAACCTTTTTTTAAAATTCAATTTTCTCCCTGAAATAACTTCCATGCAAGTAGATTGACTCGTTAAGATCCCACTGAAACAAGATCCAATCTCATTCTTGATTTCATCATTATTGAATTCGAAGAAGGTTTACGCTCAACTAAACATCTCAAATATACACATGTTGCATACAAAAATAGTATCTAAACTGCCAAACTTACAACTCTACTTTTATGCAATATATATAGATATATATTCAATTTACATAACCAAAATTTGGACATGGGTCTTTTGCTTAACCGAGACAAAGGTCAAAGGACCATTCGATTCATTAAGGGGCTAGCTTTACATAACCAAAATTTGGACATGGCTCATTTAAACTGTTTCTATAGTACATGCTAAAATACTATTCTAACACACACTTAAAAGCCCGTGTGAAAAATTAATGGACAGTTCATGTATTAATAAGATGTTTATGGTGTAAAGAAATATATCAGCACCAAGTGATTGTCAACAATGTCATCATGATTTGCTCTTGAACTTCCTTTGGGCTTTCAAGTCCACTACAATCACAGAAATATTATCCCTGCTCCCTTTTTGAAGTGCCAGCGACGTAAGGAACTCGGCTGCTGCTTGTGCTGCAGGATCGATTCCTTGGCCTCTATCCACCAATGGGTTAGTCCCGTTCTTTTTGTGCCAAATCAAAATCCGTTTCCTAGCTGCTTCGCATGCTTCCTCATTAGTCATGACATCCCACAACCCGTCACTCGCCAAAACAAGGCACTCGTCTTCTCGAGCTCGGGGCACAAACATGACTTCTGGTTCCGGTATGATCCATGGCTTCAAGAATCTGTCACCTGAGAGAAAAGAGAACCATAGAGAGCTTAACGTCAACAACATTTCCTCCATCAATTGTGGTGTCGTGAGATGAAGGACAGGCAGCTGTCGTTAAACTATGTCCACAATAAAGCAGATAAAAATTAAAAAGAAAGGAAACAAAGAAACTCCTTAAAAAGAGAGGATCATAGAGAGCTTAATGTCAACGAACATTTACTCCATCAATTGTGGTGTCGTTAGATGAAGGGCAGGCGGATGTCATAAAACTATGTCCACAATAAAGCCGATAAAAATTAAAAAGGAAACAAAAAAACTTGTTAGGGTAAAATAAATCTTAAAAAAGAATCCAATTGAAGTTAAGATTAGCTGGACCTTTTCAACTTATTCTCAATACACATGTTCTTTTCTTTCCAGGCAGTTAATCAGAAAGGTTAAGGTATAAAAATTTCTCGCACTAAAGTAACATATATAGCCCATAAATATTGTTTAGGATCTGTAATCATTGACTGACAGAAAGTGTATATAACGATAGAAGTAACAGCAAGGGGCTAATCACAAAAAAAAAGGAAAACAGAAAAGTAAAACAGAATGATAGATCAACCACAAGTCTGGTGAATTAGAACCACAAGGAACTCACAAGTGTGTGCGTGCATGAAAGAAAGTGAAAAATGAAGAAAAGAGATGCAAACTTGACGAGTAATAAGCCACCAGACTTAGAATAAATGGAGTTAACTAGTAAAAGAATGGTGCTAAATAATAACGCTGTGAAGTTGCAATGCAGTCTGCCAGGTCAACAACAACAGGACCATAGATATAAACCCTCTAGCTGAAAATGGAATTTGCTGAATCAAAAACCCTGAAGACAAATTTTTTATGATTTTGGCCTCAATAACATCTCCAAATTTTTGCCTCAATAACATCTCCAAATAGCAGGACCAATAACATCTCAAAATTTTGCTAAACATGTGCACATTCACAATCGCAAGAATCAGACAATTTATTGCTGCAAAGATTAATAGACCTACCAATGGACCTCGACATAGCAAGAACACCGAAAACACGGTGTCCATTCCATGGTATGACTTTACCCCCAGAAGCTTCAATTCTAGCATATTCATCCTCTCGGTTTGGCTGGCAAGTTAATTAAGAGGACAAGAAATGAGTTTGTTTACAAGGAAAGGGACTAACAGCAACCAAAATAACAAAAACAAGCTTACCTTATGATCAATTGATAACGCAATTGTTTTTTTACCACGGTAAAGAACTGCTCTTGAGTCCCCACAGTTGGCAACTACAATATGAGATGAACAAAGAACTGCAACAACAGCAGTCGACCCAACAGTTTCGGGGGCAACAGCTTCAAAGGTGGTACTACAGGATTCCATACTTTCTTCAGGGATGTTTCTGCTTGCTTTTCCTCCAACTTCATTATCAACCTTGCAAAAGCAATTTGTAAAGACCTTCTCCCAATGCACCTGTCGTGTTTCTATAGTACTTCCATTCACCAAATCATCCTTGTAACTTTTTAGCTCTTCTAATAAAGCTAAATGTATACGGTCACGACAATAATTTGCAACCTACACGATGAAGTTCCACTCAGTTACAAATTTACTCAAGATGAATATTAAATGTGGTTTTGAACGTGCAAAATTGATAGAATTAACTAAGCCCCTATTTGACAACCATTAAAACAAAACTCATTTTTCTCTCAAACTCATTTTCAACCACACATTCTCACACTAAATATTTTGCATGTAAAACCAAAACTTTATCCAACTTTTTAACCACATATTCTCCAAAAAGATTACTATTCCAAAACTCATTTTTCCCAAAAAAAAAAAAAAAAAACCTCATTTTAATGGTTGTCAAACACGAGCTAAATAATGTCAAGGAAGTAGCAACTTAAGTTGTCTCAAGAGATGGAGGGTTAAAACCTTTGGTCAGTCCAACC